ACACACACACACACACACACACACACACACACACACACACACACACTATGGGCAAAGTGCAGGGTACAAAGCACAAAGAAAAAATTTAGAAACCAGTTAGAGAAAAAAGGAATGTTATGATCTCAAGAACCAGGAAAAAAAAAAAAAAAACTATAGCAAAGTTTTTATTAGAAACCACAAAAATCAGAAGACAACTGTGTGATCCTATCTGAAGGGCTAAAAAAATTTTTTTAAACCTGGCAGCATAGAATTCTGTCAATCAAGAGTATTTTCAAAAGTAGAGGAGAGGGCTGGGAGATGGTTTAGCAGGTAAAGTACTGTGGAGACTGGGCAGTCACGGTGGCCCGCCTGAGGTTGCTCAGGAGGCAGAGGAAGGCTGTGCTTGGAACAAGCTCACTAGCCAGAAGAGCCGTATCAGTGAGAGACCTTGTCTCAAACTATAAGGTGGAGAGCAGTTAGGAAGACCCTGGACATCAACCTCTGGCCTCCACATGCACATGCATCCACATACATGTACCTACGCATGTGAACATACACCATACTTCAGACAGCACACATACTCTCTCGCACACTCAGTTCACACACCCATAAATAAGGTGAGGGTATAACAAAGACTTTTATCAGACAGATCATGACTGAAATAATTAATTCATTGGTGTCAAAAGTGCCTTGAAAGGAATGTTACGGAAACTTCCTTAGTATTTTAGATCAGTGGAGGGTGGGAGGAAAACAGTTCTGTATAGAAGAATTGTAACTAATACCCGTGGGTAGGATTAGAGCAATAGAGAACTCGCATCAGAACAGCAAAGCAAATCATTTCCAGCCATATTATCAAACGACTGTCAACTCAATCCTCAGTTTACCATCATAAACCAGATCGTTACTTATCTTCCGTATTCCAGGAAGGGTTAGAAGGAGCTTGAAGATAAGTGCCTGCCTACTCCACAGTGTTGTGAAGGTATGTGGTTATGAACAATATTACAAACACGAGCAAGCCCCCAGACCTTAAAATGCCGGGTGTGTTTGTATACGTGTGTGTGAGTGTGTGCAGGCGTGCAGGCGTGTGTGATCATTTTCATCGTACTGTATCAAGTGTTTCATGAGGTCAGCTGGTATTGAAATGGACGCTCTCCGGAGCAGACATCAGGATGGAGGGGGCATGGGAGGGGGCACAAAACTAGGATGATACCTTGGAATAACAGAAGAAGAAGAAGAAGGAGAAGGAGAAGGACAAAGGAGAAGGAGAAGGAAAAGGAGAAAGGAGAAGGAGAAGGAGGAGAAGAAGAAGGAGAAGAAGAAGAAGAAGAAGAAGAAGAAGAAGAAGAAGAAGAAGAAGAAGAAGAAGAAGAAGAAGAAGAAGCATGATCATTTAAATGGTGTGGCAGGCACAGAGTACCAAGTGGTAGAACCATGCAAAATCCTTCCCAGCTGGATGCAGTGTGCCTCCCCTCCTGAGATCCTGCAGCCCACGGCCCATGTGGTTCCTGGGAGTCCTGGTGCTTTCTCCAGGGCGCCATCGGATCCTTCCATCAGCTTATAGAGGGAGCCGGTGTTCTTAGCATTTCCACAGAGCTGCGGCTCAGGGTGGTAAGTGACTGGCCCACCGTTCCCCACTCTGGGGTTCAAGCCCTGGTGTTCTCACACAGAGCGCTGTTGACACACTGACTTCAGAAACAGTGCTTTGTTATTTGTGTGCAGTTGTTCCTGGTGGGCACCGAGGATATGGAGAGAATGTGAGATGCCTTTAGGGCCTTCAGGTGTGGAATTAACACAAAATCACATGCTGAGGGATATTTCTTCCCAACTCCCTTCTGGTCCTGTTGGCTTCATCACAGAACAAGTCTGATGCAGATGCCCCGTACCCTGTCCCTACATCTGCTAACTTGCCTTCTATTGTCGCTTAAAAATGTGAAATGACAGCCAGGCATGGTGGTGCATGCTTTTAATCCTAGCACTCAGGGAGGCAGATGCAAGCCGACCACTCTGAGTTTGAGGCTAGCCTGGTCTACAAAGCAAGTCAAAGACAGCCAAGGCTACACAGAGAAACCCTGTCTGAAAAAAAAAAAAAAAAAAAAACCAAAAAGAAAAAAAAAGTGAAATGACATAGTTTGTGTGTGTGTGTGTGTGTGTGTGTGTTTAATGTGAGTGAGTGAGTATGGTGAGTATGGTTTAAAGGTCAGAGGACAGCTGTGGTAGTCAGTTCTTTTCTTCCATCATGTGGGCCTCAGGGTTGGAACTTATGTTATTAGGCTTACTATGGAGCCAAAGATGGCCTTGAACTCTGGATCCTTTCACCTCAGCGGTACCACCACAGCAGCCTAGTCTCCATCTTTCTATCAGAGAGAAATCTTCTGTAGGAGACAGGATTTGGATAGAATTTAATGACACAGTTTGAGCTTTACTTTATCATTTCCCCTAGTTTCTGGATTTCCTATTTATAGCAAGTGCTTACAGGCTTTCATTTGGTGTGACAGTCTCTTTTTAAAAACAAAATGAATTCTAAGCTGAGTGGATGAGAATTTGAGACGGAAGCGTGGTGCTCTGCCACAAGGCAGGGAAGCAGAGCGGAACGAGGCTCCCAAGAGAAATGGCTGCTGGGTCACGCTCCCGTGGCTCAGAGGACCCTGGACCTCCTAGACAAAGCTTGAAAGCATCACCAACAGGGAGACCCTGAACTCCTGGCCCAGGAGCCTGGGCCGATTGCTGTGCCTTCTGGGACTGGCGCCTTCTTCTTGGTTCTAGGGCAGCATGACACCCTGAGATCGTAGGGCTAACAGGTCAGAGGGCAGAGTCGAGAAAAGGACTGAGGGGAGCTGAAGGCATGCCAGAGGTGACAAGAGGAGGTGCCAGTAATGAGAGTCACGGCTGGCTGCTGTCTCCTGGGAAAGGCACTGTCCACAAGCTTGCTTCCTTGCTATGTGTGTATCTGCTACTCTATCAGGAGCCATATGGATTCTGGCTTGAATTGTTACTGTCTCAAATGTCCTGTTGACCAGTTTGTGCCTATGAGTTTGGGCCTATAAAAATACTTTATTAAATGAAGATTCATAATTTTTCAAGTTGTTTCCTTCCTTCCTTCCTTCCTTCCTTCCTTCCTTCCTTCCTTCCTTCCTTCCTTCCTTCCTTCCTTCCTTCCTGCCTTCCTTCTTTCCTTCTCTACTTCCTTTTCTCCCATGCACTTCTTTTCTTAACCTTAGTTTTCCAGTGTTCCCACTAAGGAACCCTCAGCCCAGAGAAAAAGAAACTTATGCTTTGAGGCTCTGAGGGGATTTTTAAGAGACCCATGTTGAATTTTCTAAAACTTTAGCTGAGTTGGGCATGGCGGTTCACTCCTGTAATCCCAGCACCTGGAAGGCTGAGACTGGAAGATCATGAGTTCAAGGCCAGCTGGAGCCACAAAGTGAGCTTAACAGACAACCACAGCCGAAAAGCTTATGCCATTGTTAGACTCCACTTAAAGGAAGCCATGTGGTGTGACGGAGCGCCACTTCTGAAGGTGCTGTGTGTACCCGCTCTAATCTTGTGAAAAATGACTCCTGCTATGCTTTACATGTTCTCTCTTGCATTTCAGAAGGTCAGCAACCTCCATTTCTAGGAAGGGTGCTCTAAAGGCCAGGGAGGCTCACATCGCTGGCCTTGGTACAGTCTCAGAAGCCAGCCCTGCAATACATGAGACAAGAAAGCCACGTATAATCATGTGGCCAAGAATGTTACAGTTCCAACCCAGACTCCAAGATGAGGTGCGTATTTCCAGCTTCCTCGACACTGTCCGCAATGATCACCCATGGCTTCTTAGTTAACAAAATGAAAATTTATTCAATTTTCAGTTCTAATAAATAGTTGCCTCTACAACAGGCCATGAGCCCTGGTAAAAAGACAGAGTCCGTGTAACCATTCAGAGAGAACAAACACATTAAGCTGTGGGCTTTAGTTACAAAAGGGAGTTGCTCTCATCTCTTACTGCTGTCTTGCTGCAGTTAAAGGCTTTGAGAAGCATTTAGTTTTCTTATCACATAAGAAAGGTGCATTTGTCAAACAGGAAACCAAACCAAACCAACCAACCAACCAACCCAACAGACTCCCAAACCCAGCAGCAGCTATAAAGAGTAGATTAGATGGTTTCCCCATCAATGAAACCAACAATAAATAAGCTTGGAAGGAAACCCAGCAAAAAGAAGGCCCTGCTACATTCTGGAATATCCATTTCCTTTTCTTGAGGGGCTGGGAGAAGGAGTGAGTTCAGCCATTCACAGTTTCAGGCTAGAATTAGGCTCCTGGGGGCTTTCCTCCCCAATTGATGGACCATGACGGTCACTGTTTCCTGAGGCCAAGGTCAGATTTCCAAAGCTGAACTTGAGAAGCTAATTGCAACAGCCAGGGACATAGCCAAGTTCGCTGGGGTTGTGACAGTGTCTTATTCTCCACTTGCCCCTGGGTGTCTTCCTCTGTCAGCTACTTCCTGGTTCCTACCTGTCTCCGCTGGTCTCTGCCAACCTGTTGTTCATTACTGCAAAGGCTCCCACACCCCCTGAGAACTCATCTTCCCGGGAGGATGTGTTGGCCTGGTGGGGTCCACCATTGGCCATCTCGGACAACTGCTTCTGCAGGATGGCCAGGGAGACCTTGTTGGTGTCCTTCATGGAGATCATCTCCCCTGAGAGACGCCGCCCATCAGCGTCACTTTCCATCACCCCATCCGTCTCTATGGAGATGTTGCATCTGTTCCGGACGTTGCCAGGCATCACCACGTTCCTCCTGGACCGCAGGAGTCCTCTTTGGCATTGGGGGAGGCACCCGCTATCCAGTTTCCTCAGGATCCAGTTCACAGTCTGTTTGATCAGGATGGAGATGACGTTAAACAAGGAGTAGATGCAGCAGACCCCCATGAGGATGAAGAAGAAGTTGGCAAAGCGGTAGAGTCCTTGTCTCTCATACTGAGCATTCTGGCTGCTCACCAGGTCCCCAAAGCCAATGGTGCTGAAAGCCACAAAGCAAAAGTACAGTGAATCAAAGTAGCTCCAGCCTTCCATGGTGGTGTACAGAGCCGAGGCTCCGCAGGAGATGGCCACTGATGCCAAGCAGAGGATCAGCATGACGTAGTACACAGAGGGTTTCCAGCCAGCTAGGTTATCCACCTCGCCCTTTTCGGGGGCCTTCATGTTGTCCTGGGTCACCATCCTGCGTCTCCGCAGCTGATGCTGGTGACAGGACCTCATGACATAGGCGATGACGGTGATCAGCCGCTCCAGGAAGAGGTTGAAGAAGAGGATGGTACTTGCACATCCAATGAGACCATAAAAGATCAGAAAAATCTTCCCTCCGATTGTGGCTGGTGTTGTCATCCCGAACCCTGTGAAGAAGACAAAAGCCAGGGGAGAGAGGAGTGAGTGAGAGCTTGGTTGGGAGTGGAGTTGGTGGAGGGCCGTGGTTCTCATCCTTCCTGATCCTTCGACATTCTAATACAGTCCTTCATGTTGTGGTGACCCCCAGCCATGAAATTATTTCGTCGCTGCTTCACAACTGTAATTTTGCCACTGTTAGGAATCGTAATGTAAATATCTGATATGGGACCCTGAAGGGGTCATGACCCGCAGGTTGAGAACCACTGGCATATAGGCTTGGAGGCTGGTGAAGGAGTATAAGACATAGTGTTATGAAGTCCCTCAGCTCTAGCCTTTCTAGGAAAGTGGAGACTCTCCATCGCTGTTGGAAGGCTGTTGTTCAGCACACAAAGTTGGCCTGCTGTAAGCCCATATGGTGCTATTGTGCAAGGCAGGAAAAGGCCCCTCTTCCTCTGAGTGGAACCAGCCAGGAAAAAAAAAAGGGCTTAGTGCTGAGCATGTGACTAGGTCCCAGCCTCCTGCCCTTCTTTTGTTGGATGTCCTTGTACACTATGGAACACAAACAGTCACAATCAACAGACCTTGTTCAGAGACACACAGGCTCCTACAAAAATAAAGGTTTTTGCAGACTCGTAAGAATTCATTTATTCCACAGACACAGAACTGGCGACAGAACCGGAAGAGCTGCTGTCTCCCTGGTTCTCTGGTTCTGCAGACAATTGGTATATCGTGTGGTAAGTGCTGGGCTTGGAAGTGGCACAGAGCTCCGTGGCAGCTGCTGAGAGGGGGTCTGGGAAGATTATATCGAGAATCTTGGGAACCAAGGAGGCACTGTGCAGGCAGAAGGTACATGCCAGCGGTAATGGTTGTCCCTTTTCCTCCTTTCTCTTTTGCATGTATGTGTACATATGTAGTGTGTGTGTGTGTGTGTGTGTGTGTGTGTGTGTGTGTGTGTGTGTGTGCGCGCGCGCAAGTTGATGTTGGGTATCTTCCTCAACTGCACTCCACCTTACTTATTGGGGCAAGGTCTTTTGCTGAAACCAGAGCTCACTGATTCGGGCTAGTTTAGCTGGTTAGCTTGCCCTGGGAAGCTGCCATGCCTGCCTGGGTTTTTACATGAATTCTGAGGCTCTAACTCTGGTCCTTACACTTTTTCTTTATTTTCAAGTTTCAGGTTCCTCATTGTGCCCCATCACTGGGATCCCCAAACCTCAGCTATTATCCTTGTAACTTCCCTCAAAGCTGACCTTTATCTTGTTGCTATAGGTCAACTAGTGGCTGTCTGCCCTAGGTTTCCCTTGGGAACTAGTCAGATCAGATCTTGAGGTCTGTGGGCTACTGGGGTTAGGGCTTCATGGTGTCCTGAGATGAACTCAAGGAACCACCTTTTCCAAGCACCTGATGTGTGCATTCAGCACCATTTAACTCTCTAACTAAAGTCATGGTTCTCAGCACACATGGTTCGCAACCCTGTTTGGCTGAGAAGCAAAAGGCCTTAAACCAAGATAATAAAGGAGTATAATGAGTTAAGCTTTTAGCAAAACAAGAATGGATGGGGCATTTGGTAAGGAAGGAGAAAGAGACAAGAACAATAGAATGGAGATTTTGAGTGTTAGGACCCTAAATAGTGGAAGAAAAAAAAATCAAAACATCACCTCTCCTTTGGAAACCTTGCTTCAAATCAAAGCCTCCTCAGCCACCTTGCAGTAGAGGTCATTTCTCTCCATTAGGTAAAGAGATGTGTTGTCCTCTCTAGTTAGGAGTTAAATTCCTATCCTCAAGCTCAGATGAGTAGAGGCAGGTAGAGTTGTGGAGGCTTGAGTTTGATGAATTAGGCGCACTGAGTTTTACAAGTAGGTTTTGAACAATGCTGTATTCTACTCGGTCCAAAAGAACATCACTGAGCCACCAGCAAGTCAAACAAGTAGTTCCCAATTATTGAAGGAACTTGGAGATACTTTGATGGACTCAGTGGATTCCTGAACCAGGAGAGTTTGTGAGTGCTCCCTGTAGAAGATAGAAGCAGAGGCCACTGCTATGACAGGAATGATTTCATCTCGCCAAACTCTCATCTTCACCCAAAAGGTGGTGGTTTTAGAAGGTGGACCTATGTGAGGTGATTAGCTTATAGGGGTGGGACCTTCATGGATGGCATCTGTGTCTTTCTAAATGATGCCTTGGCAGTTGGGGACGTGGCTCAGTTAGTAGAGGGTTTGTCTGATAAGCTGGGTGTGGTAACAGATGCCTGTAATCCAGCATGTGGGAGAGGGAGCCAGGAGGACCAGAAAACTTCAAGGACATGTTAGATGATGTAGGGAGTTCAAAAGCAGCCTGGCTCAGACAACGACTACAAGAAAAGACACCTCGGAGAATGTCACCATCTCTGCCATCTGAGAACACAGCAATGATTCTATGAAGGCTTTGACCTTGGACTTCCAGAACTGTGAGCATAATGCCGGCCTGTGGTATTTGTCACAGCATCCAGAATGAATTAAGACAGCCATCCAAGATGGCCTGGACAAGCTCCTTATGAGAACTCCTTCCCTGAAGAGCTGTAAACAATGTCTACCCCCGGTACAAGCTCCCAATTACAAATCAAAATATGACCTTGCGTGTGACAAACCAGAGTATGAATCCACGAACTTCTCCCTGGGGAACCAGCGAGTTTACTGGGCTTACTTGGAACACACAGAGTGAAGCGTTGCCTATGTAAGCATGGGTGCAGCTGAGCACTGAGGGCGTGGCCTTACCCATAGCCCAACTGGCAAAGGGCAGGGCCTGAGCGCAGTCCCCAGAATCCGTGTTAAAAAGGCCAGGTGTGGTATGTAACTGTAACCCCAGTGCTGCGGAGGTGGGCACACGTGGGTCCCCGAGGCGCCCTTGCCAGGCCAGATAGTCTACCTGGTGATTTCCGGGTCAATTAGAGACCCTGACTAAAAACAAAAACAAACAAACAAAACACAATGGTGGACAGCCCCGAGGAACAATGCTGATGTGTGCACACTCACACACACACACACACACACACACACACACACACTGAGCATGATGTGGTCATTAGGCTCGTGAATCCTAGCAGCTATGATTCTTAGCACAAGACTAGGTCCGTGAACATTCTGTGACGCAGCAGGGAGGGGCTTATCAGGCCACACCCCTCCCGAAGCAAGCACCTTTAATGGTTGCTGCTATAGTTGCCCAGGCGACTGTTAGCAATCCGAATCGATTTCAGCGAGTCAGGCTGCCGCGTCCAGCTTCTACCTACTAGCCTGAGTTGTAGACAGTTTAATCATCTGGACAATGAGGTTGACAATGTTAACCTCGATATAATCGTTATTCCTGAAATAATAAATAATATTCATAAATGTTAAAACAAAACAATACCATAGACAGTGAAGAAGAGCCCCCGGGGTCACGAGTGAGGGCTGTGGAATGAGTGTGTCCCTGGGGAGTCTCCTGTTGAAGTTTAGTCTGCACTAACAGTGATGAACCACGATGTTTCGAGGTGAGGGTTTTGTGGCACGGTTAGAGCTAGAGAAGGTCATCGGAACTGAGCCCCTGAACCGAATGCAGGTGAAGGAGACCAAGTGAGGCTCACAGCAACCCTCCCTGTTTCATGCCAGCTTAGGGCTCTGCTAGTAACATGGCATCACCAATTGTGGTCCCTCTAGAACTGTGAGCCAAATAAACTCCTTTTCCTTAGAAGCCTTGGGTCCCTCCCCCAACCCATACGTGTACATGACTGAAAAAGAGTATTCCCTAGAGTATGTTATTACAGCCACAAAAGTCAGACTACATACTGGGAGAATTGGCCATCACGAGTCTGCTAGTCCCATTCGACAGAGTAAAAAGCCAGCTAGACTTAGAACTTCGATCATGTTGTCTTCCAGGCTTAGGCTTCCCCACCCGACTAAGCTTGTCATCGGTAGAACCAAGGGGAGGGCAGGAAACAAGTGCTCAGAGCCGTAGACTTTATTTTTTGGGTTTTAAATTAAGATATTTATTATTATCAACGTCACGTGAACATGTGTGTATGACCTATGTGGAAGAGCAACGGCTAGCAGATCATGTGTGTGGAGCTCAGAGGACAATTTTGCGGACTAGTTTCTCTCCTTCCACCTCTGACCTCTGACCTTTCCAGCCTCTGGGGCACCTACATTCAACTTGCACATCCCCACGGATACACATACACTTAAAAAAGAATATTCTCCCCACGCAGCCTAACTCCGTCCTGGTAAGCCCTGCCTCTAAAGCTTCCAATGGTTTTTCTAGGCTGCAGACTCAGGCGTTAGCACATGGGCCTTGGAGGGCAGTCCAGGTCCAAACCGGTTGTACTACCCACTGTGCTTCTTCGACTCTAGCCTACCCCTTTACCTCAGGATGTTATCTAACTGCTGATGTGAGAGCATGATGGGGAGATGGGCTCTGGGGGGCCTATGGAGGAGGTTACCCTAGTTAGGTTAACTGAGGTAGGTGGCTCCGTTCCCTAGGCTTGGATTCTGGACGGTATAAAATGAGAAGGTGAGCTGAGCGTAACCATTTATCTCTCTCTAACTCTTGATTGTGACCAGCTGCTGTCCTTCAGCCTGTTGCATGACTTCCCTGCCATCTCGGACTGTGCCCTTGAACTGTGAGCTGAAATAAACTCTTTCCTCTCTGAGTTGCTATTGTCAGGGCGTTTAATTATAACAACAACAACAAGAAGAAACTAAGACAAAAATATGTTATATATAATTATATATATCATATATGATAGCTATATATCTATATATCTGTAAAACGGTACCCAGGGCTTTGTCCATTCTAGGCAAGTGTTCTCCCATGGAGCTATATCTCAAGACCCTTTGCTGGAGTAGCATAACACAAACACCGTGCAGTACACTAATTCACTCACCAACAAAGAGCGTCTCTGACTGCCACGCGCTTCATTTATCTATCACAACGACTGTCCTATTACCACACCTAAAAGAAAAGTCTAATTCCTAACCATCAAATGAGCCTGATCTGTGTT